GCTCGGTGCGGTCGGGCGGGGCGCTCCGGTGCGGCGTTCCCGGGTGGGCACTGGCGGGGACTCCAGGCCCAGGCTGTTTTCGTGGCTGTCATACCCATCACCTGCTGTGTCCCCTCCGCAGGTGCCGCTGAGGCTGGCCGTCCCGTTTCTTTGCTCTCCAGGGAGGAGGTGTTGTTGTTTTCTGGGCTTTCATGGCGGATCCCACGGCCCCATTGTCCTGGGCAGGCTTTTAAACCCCTTGCAAAAGACCTCGGCAAGCCCTTGGTTAGGACGCGTCCATGTTTGCTTTGTCAGCCAGCAGTGTAGGAATTTGTATTTTTTTTTTCAGCTTGTCTACCCCCCTTTTTAAGGGTTTTAGCCGGTTTAGGACATTTTCTTATTAATAACTTATTAATAATGACGCTCTTGGTTCCTTAGAGGTGCTTGCAGCGTTCTCTGCTTTTTAGAGGTTTCTTTGGTGTGGGGTGTGGCTGAGGGCAAACCTCCTGGAGGTGAGTCTGATAGGTTAATCCCTGCTCATGTTTTGACACCACGAAAAACAAGATGTCTTCTTTAAAAGGAAGGATTCACACATTTTATTTTTATTTATTTTTTTAAGTGAGGTTAGGTGCAGATGCAAGATTGAAAAGTGATGTTTCAAGGTGTGTTCTTTGTTCTCAAGCTTTACAAGGACAAGCTACTTTATCGGACTCATTTTGGGGACCTTGTTGAAAATCTGTTTCTGAGCTCCACCACATTTTGCCAAAATGGCACTCTCTGGGTAAGGGTACAGTATGCAGTATTGACATGCTTTGCAAATAATTGACGGGCACCATTGACTTGAGGATTCTTCTAGACAGTCTGAGAGTGGTTTTCAAACTTCTCATTGGGCTCTCATTTCTAGAATTTCTCCTTCCTTCCTTCCTTCCTTCCTTCCTTCCTTCCTTCCTTCCTTCCTTCCTTCCTTCTTTCCTTCCTTTCTTTCTCCCTTTCTATAGGGTCTTTTTGTTGTTGTTATTTTGGTTTATGAGACAGGGTTTCTCTGTGTAGCTTTGGCTGGCCTGGAACTCAATCTGTAGATCAGGCTGGCCTGGAACTCACAGAGATCTGCCTGCCTCTGCCTCCTGAATGGTGGGACTAAAGGTGTGTGCTACCTCCACCCTGCTGATAGGCTCTTAATACATGGCCCTGTTCTGCTTGGACCTGACAGAGATCAGCTTGCCCCTGCCTCCCGGGGGCAGGGGTTGAAGGCTTGTGCTTGTACCACCACATCAGGCTCTAACCCAGCTGTTTAAGGACCCTTAGATATTCATAGTGGCTAGAGCACTCCACAACCCACTCAATACCCAGGCTGGGTTCTGAGAAGGGGGCAGATACATGTAAAGAAATACCTGCTGTCTTTCTTTCTATACTTTCCCCTCTTCTACTCTCCCCTCTCCCTTTTCCTTCTCCATCTAGTAGCAAGCATGGGTGCTCTTTTGTTGGTATTCAGGGCAATACTAACATTGCTACCTATTTTTCTTTCCAAGTCACATGGTTTGCTATTATTTTTTTCCATCTAGAATATCTCTGGATATTTTGTTCAACCAGAAATTCAAATATTGGGAATTTTATTTTGTTGAACTTAATGTCTTCCATTTCTTTTCCATTTTTACTGCCTGACCCTGTTCCTGTAGGCTTCTGTTTCGGTCCCTAACTCGTGCCTAGAGTTCTGGTTCTTGTTTTTGCCTGTTCTGGGTTGTGTATACATACTCTGCTAAATTAATTTTTCTGTGATCCTGCTTCAGCCTATCATCCCCTCTTCTAGCTTTTACTGAAGAATGTCAGGGTTGTTTTTTGGTTTTGTCACTGAATTCCTGAATGTTTAGAAGGCTTGAGCAGAAACCTTAGGAAAAGGACACTTACTGGGGTGAGGAGAGGCCAGGACACTGTAGCTTCGTGATCTGTTTCTCAGGGGCTACACTGGCTCCCTTAGGAAGGAGCCTTCTCTGTTGATGTCGGTAGTTCTCCTTCTCTGATGACTGCGAGCTTCCACATCACCCACAGTGACAGGCACAGTTTTAATTCCCATTCTGGACTGGCCCAGCTTATCTTCTGAGCATGATATGTACAGATTGTTTAAACAGTCCACCCGTGACTAATGGTAGGGAACATGCTGTCAAGGGTGACAGGGGGCCTGTCTGTGGACAAAGACACTCCCCCCTCTTGCAGAAGAGACATCCTTTATGTACCTGTGTGTTACTCAGCTTGACAATTCCTCATGAGATTCTGCTTGCTGTAGGTCTGTAATAGGTTCTGAAGACAGACGTAAACTTGACAAGATACAGGGCTAAACCATTGTGGACTTTGAAGCTGTAGCTGCAAAGCATGCAGGGTGTGTTTTGGCTTGCTGGGAGTTTAAGCAAGTACACTGGCACCCCATGTCGATGAGCATGGGCAAATTCATGCTTCTACCAAGATTGGGTTGGTTCTACCGTATGCCAGGCACTTCTCCAACTGTTAGAAACTGAGCAGCGAACGAAGTCCTTATTCTTCCAGAGTTCTTTGCTGGGGTAGGGTAAGCAGGCTAAGTAAGTAAATAGTGTACACGTTGAGTCATGCTCAGTGCTGTCCGGAATAAAGCTGAGTAATGGAACAGTGATAGTAGTGTGTGTGGGTGTGTGTTTCGGGGGTGAGGGCTGTTTTATAATTAGTGGCTTGGGTGCTCTGCATCAGCTGTTTGTACAGAAACACAAGATGGCCTGAATAAAGTGACGTAGAGAGTGGTAGGAGATGAACCTATGGAGGAGGAGGAGGAGAGGTTTGAGGGATAGATGTGAGGCTGGAGCTAGGAGGACCATGCAAGAGTGTGATACTGTGTCTTAGTGTAGCACTGAACAGTGCTATAAAATATACATATTGTAAATAGTTAAGATGCCAAATGTGTAGTTCTTAGCCCCACTCCCTTCATATAGCATAAGCTTTTTCCAGTCTATACAGGTTTGGAAACTTATTGATCCCCTGTGTGAATTTGTCACAGTTTGTATACCCCTAGGTTTAAAATGTGTGTGCTTGGGTGTTTGCCTGAATTTGTGTATATCATTTGCATGCAGGTGCCCTTGGAGGCAGGCTTCCCTGGAGCTAGAGTTGTAAGAGAACTTGAACTGGGAACGGAGCCCAGATCCTCTGTGAGAACAGTAAGTGCTCATCCTCCTCTGATTTTTGTTCTTGTGAATAAAGTTATATGATATTTAAAATCTTTATCTATGTTTTTTCCTGGTTTTAGAATTGCTTCCTAGGTGTGAAATTATTGGATCAAATAACTTGTTTAAAGTAGGGCATATTGATATAATTAATTTCCATGTTATAGAATGTATCCTTTTTGGGGTATGGTTTTGAATTTTGACAGGTCGGTGTGATTATGTAACCCCAGCACAATTGAAGCAGAGACTATCCATCAACTCTCCAATTTTCTTGCATTCCTCTGCAGTGTCTCACCTTTTGTCTTGTCCCCTAGCAACCCCTAATGCGTTTCTGTCCCGTCCAGGTAGTTTTTGTTACAGAACATATTTACCTGGACTTATACAGCACAATAGTAATCTCTGCCATTTAGTCCCCAAAGTAGACTTCCTTCCTGCATGTAAAACTTGAACTTTATCCCAAGGACCCCAGGGGTCTCAGTTTCTCATAGCATCAACTCACTTAAGTCACATTAGCTCAGAAAGTTCTCATGCCATCTTCTAAATTCAACATGAGTGAGGCGGGTGGTGAAACAGTTATCCCAGACAGTCTGTGAGCCTGTGGGACTCAGTCTGTCAGGCTGCCACACCTGTCTGTAATCTCATCATTGGGAAGCAGACACAGGAGGATCTAGTTTGAGGCTAACTTAAAATATGTATTAAGAGCTTGTTTCAAGACTAGAAACAAACAAAAAACCTAAATAACCAAACAAAGAAACACGTTATCTGTTCCTGAGTAGATCGGAAGGAGCAATTTAATTCTCCTAGCAGAGGTAAAGTCTTTTGTATTTCTTTTTAAAATTTTGATGATCCCTGATCTATCAGATTTCTCCTTTTTATGTACTGTTCAGTTTCCTTAATTAGAGGTTACAGAAACAGTGTGCTTTCTTGCAGCAGTTTTGTGCTTAGGGTTACACTTAGGTTAGTTTCGAGTTAGCATCTGTAGAGTGGGCAAAGTGGGGACTGATGGTTTTACATTTAGATGTCCCTCGATACTTAAAGCAATTTTAGAATATACTTACTTGACAGTTTAATGTATGCATACAATGTATCTTGATCATACTCACCCCACCCCCTCCACTTCCTCTAGACACCTCCAAGTTTCTACTTTTCCCAACTTACACCCTAGTTGTGGTGGTGCACCCTGAACAAATGGGGTGCTTTTCTTTTGGTGGAAACTGTCGGGGAGCAGGGAAGTAGTCAAGGGGTGGGAATTGGGGGTTACTGTGGGGCAGCCGAAGTTATTCCTTTCATACATCCTGTGGTAGGCTACATTTTCTCATAGCATGGCCAGCAAGAATGAGGGACCAGTTATGGGCATGTCTGACTAAGAGAAATGTAGCAGCAAGCTGAGCACAGGTGCCTGGGTGGGATGGGGCATGATCATGTGGTGAAGGGACTGAGGGGGAGTTGTAGGACCATATATGGTCATAGGTGTTAAGTAGGTGAGAGGCCACACCACTTACTCTGCTGACATGGAAACATTTGATTTTTCTGTCCTCCAAGAAGCAAAAGGATTCAGTCCAACTCAGTTCGGTCACCTGCATGCTGGTCAGAGGCTCTGAGAGGAGGGCAGGGATCTGTGCTGTAAGCCCTCCCAACGCTTATGATGCATTCATGCCCAAGGTTCTTTATTTTTGATTGATAAATACAAACTGCATATACTTATGTTTCCATGTGCATATATTGTGGAATGACCAACTCAGGCTAATTAACTTGTTCATCATCTCACATCCTTAAAATTTCTTTGTGGTGAGAACATTTTATATAATCAGCTCACTTGGCTACTTTGAAAAACATGATATGCTGTTGATAAATCATAGATACAAACTACAGAACCCTTTGCCTTGGTCCAACTAAAACTTTGTACTCTTGGACCAACATCCCCTTTTCTGTCAGTACCCACACTTCTGTAGTCTCTGCTAGCTCATTTAGAAGCTCACTGTGGATGCTTCATAGACAGAGAGGAGGCTGTCTATAAAGGGAGGCTGAGTGGAAGCAGGGAAACCAGTTAGGAAGCTGTGAGATAACTCAGGGTGACTTGTAGGCTGGTAGTGATGGAGGCAGTAACAATAGATATGAATTACATCTTGCAGATAGAGCTAGAAGGACTTGCTATTTTAGATTGGTTATATGTTAGATTCAATATCATGTAAGAAGGAGGGCTAAGTCACAGGCATTTCTAAGGCCTGGGCTCTGGAAGGATGGAGCTGGAGCTGATGCAAACCGAGATGGGGTCAGCAATAGGCACAGTGGAACACCGCTCCCTTGTGCTTGGCGCAGTGATGATGAAACTTGGTAGCATCTGGCTTGGGTTTTGGATGAATTGAGTTTGATATGTGCTTCGAGTCTGGGAAACGACATCTTGTCAGCTTTCTGACAGTTGAGGTGTGGGAAGTTTATATTTTTACCATTGGCGGTTTGTCTGAACACATTTAAGGGTAATAACAACTTTGTTTATTTCTAACCAGAGAGGTACGTTTTTCTGACTTGTTTTTTAAAGGTGAAATAAAGTCGGTTGTAGATTCCTGTGAAAATGTCGGTTCTGATATCACAGAGTGTGATCAATTATGTGGAAGAAGAAAACATTCCTGCCCTGAAAGCTCTTCTGGAGAAGTGCAAAGATGTGGATGAGAGAAATGAGGTGAGACTGAGAGTGAGTTCCTCACACAGGTGTGCACTGCTCTTGTACAAGGTGCTGAGAGTGAGTTCTTCACGCATGTGTAGACTGCTCTCACACAAGGCTCTGTGCTAAGGATGACGGTGGGGGTAGGTGGGTCTCTGCTTCCGAGCATGGGTTCTTCATGCAATTTCATGTTGAAGTGTTTCTGATTCTGTGCTCTGAAAATTTTTAGTTTTTTTTTCGAGACAGGGTTTCTCTGTGGCTTTGGAGCCTGTCCTGGAACTAGCTCTTGTAGACCAGACTGGTCTAGAACTCACAGAGATCCGCCTGCCTCTGCCTCCTGAGTGCTGAGAGTATTGAATGTAGGCTTGTTGACTTCCCCCTGGCAGAATACTAAGTATTCAGGGGGGTTGGACTAGGAAGCTTCATAGTCTAAGACCCCCTCTCCCTTCAAATAGACTAACCAGACTACTTGTCTTTTCAGTGAAATCTCAAATCTTCCTGAGTTGTTCATCTCACCCTGGGATGTTAGATGCTGTATGTCTTAGAGGGTATACGCTATGTTACTGTTTAGTAACTAATTAGTAAACTTACCTTAGATACCTTAAACATTTCTGTGAAATTGCTTTTATATCATCAGATATATTGTGATGTTTGAAAACTATTTGATGTGACATTTTAGAGAATAATAAAATTTTTATCTGTCAAAGTATGTGTTTATCTTAATAAATCTTAATTTTTAGATTATTTTATTATTTTAAATGTATAGGTATTTTACCTAGCATGCAGAGGTCAGAAGAGGGCACTGGAGTTAACAGATAGTTGTGAGCCACCAGGTGGGTGTTGGGAATTGAACCCAGGTCCTTTGTAAGAGCCACTGGTGCTCTTAATTACCAAGCCACCTCACCAGCCTCTTTTTTCCTTTTTTCAATGCTAGGGATCAAGCTATTGCCCTCACACATGCTGGGGAAGAGCACTACTGCTGAGGTGTATCCATAGCCCTACAGTTGATACTATTTTTTTTTTTTTTTTCGAGACAGGGTTTCTCTATGGCTTTGGAGGCTGTTCTGGAACTAGCTCTTGTAGACCAGGCTGGTCTGGAACTCACAGAGGGCAACCTGCCTCTGCCACCCGAGTGCTGGGATTAAAGGCGTGCGCCACCAACGCCCGGCCAGTTGATACTTTTTATTTTTTATTTTTATTAAACTTTTTTTGTGTGTGTAGGTCAGGGGAGAACCAACTTTCGGAGTTGCTTCTCTACTATCATGTGGGTCTTGGGGATAGAATGAGGTTGTCAGGCTTGGTGGCAAGTTCCTTCATCCACTGAGACATCTCTTCCTATAAAAGTTAATCTTGGAACAGGATATGGTGGTGTACTCCTTTAATCCCAACACTCAGGAGTCAGAGGCAGGCAGATCTTTGTGAGTGCAAGGACAGCCTGGTTTACATAGTAAGTTTCAGACCAGTTAGGCTATATACTCATACCCTCCCCCCAAAAGCAAATAAAAATCATCATTATTATTATTTTAAACTTTTGGACTTGGAGGTATAGCTGTTTGGTAGAATGCTTCCCTGGTATGAGTGAGGAGGCCCTGTGTTCAACAAGACTAAGAATAATCTAGAGTTTTACAAAGTTGTTAGATTTTTCTCTTCTTTCTTGTCTTTAGAGTATTTTAGCTCCTTCATCTTAGTGTGTGTGTGTGTTTAGCATATAATTGACTACAATCAATGAATTGGGCTTTTTGCCTCTTTTGTTTTGTTGATAAACTAGATAAGTCTCAGTTTATGGCTAGTTCCATCTTGGAAAGAGCAAGGTCACCTTTCTTTGGGGTGGAGGAGGGTTTGGTGGTAGGGAGTATTGAGACTGGACAAAAAGTCCACAAAATACCATTGAGCTAACTTTGTGTTGGCCACTTGGGTATGGGACTTGCCTGGAGTTGTCAGTAGATCCAGTGACACGCCATCGAATAAAATTAGTTTTCCCTTTGCCTTCTGGTATCAATTGTAGATGTCTTCTTAGTTAGAGGTGAGAACTCTGTCTACTTTGCTCTCTTAGTTCTGTGACCCCCATCTGTCTTGAACCTGTGCAGGTCTAGTGCATGCTGCCAGTTTTCTGTGAGGTCACATTGCACATTGCTTTTTAGAACTGTTGATGATCAAATTTAATATTCAAATGATAGACTTTTCCACTTGGAAAATATGTTTATACACGATACCTCAATCTCTAATGAGCAATGTGTCAATCATGTATAATTTAATGTCTCTCATTATAAGAATGCCAGTGTTTACTTTGTTTAAACCAGTAGTTATGTTTTACTCTTGTTTATATATATTTATTTATTATTATGTATACAGGTTCTGCTTATATGTATCCCTGCAGGCCAGAAGAGGACATCAGATCTCATTATAGATGGTTGTGAGCCACCATGTGGTTGCAGGGAATTGAACTCAGGACCTCTGGAAGAGCAACCAGTACTCTTAACTTCTGAGCCATCTGTCCAGCCCATGTTTAACTCTTTACTTACATTATCCTTATAGTAGCATTTGTTTGCTAATTCTGAATGAACTCATAGTGTGTCTAAAACAGATTATTAATATTATAGGAGAAAAATACATTTTTCTTTTAGTTTACTTATTTTTTTATTTTATGTGCATCGGTGTTTTGCCATGGGTCCCTGGAACTGGAGTTGCAGACAATTGTAAACTGCCATGTGGGTGCTGGGAATTGAATCTGAGTCCTCTGGAAGAGCAGTCAGTACTCATAATGGCTGAGCCATCTCTTCATCCCCAGAAAGTCACATTTCTAGTAGCTTTGATACTCATTTATTTTTCTGGAGAGTGAATTCAGGGTCTTGTACATTTGAGGAAAGTGCCCATCACTGAGCTATATCCCCTAACTAGTTTATGACTTTTAGATCATCAGTAAACTGAGTCTGTAGGCTCGAAGCTGTTGATAAATTACAGAAATACAGGAAACACATGGGGGCTCTGCACACCTATGTGAAAAGGTGAGTGCGGTGCTTGTCAGTGTTGGCGTGAGAGCACACTATGTTGCTAAGCTCGCTGTCCTGTTTGTTCTCCAGTGCGGCCAGACTCCCCTGATGATAGCTGCTGAACAGGGCAATGTGGAAATAGTGAAAGAACTGATTAAAAATGGAGCCAACTGCAACCTGGAAGATCTGGTAGGCATAAAAATCTACTCATTAGTCCTGCTTCAGTTTGTTCATAAAAGTGATTAAAGAATGGTGATTAAAAATTGTACTTTGAGGACTGATGTGGTAGTTTATACCTTTAATCCCAATCCCAGCACTCAGATGCAGGAGCCAGATGCAGGCGGGTCTCTGAGTTCCAGGCCAGCCTGGTCTACACAGAGAATTCCAGGCTAGTCACAACAACACGTCTATAAACAAACAAACAAACAAACAAATATTTTTAAAGTGCTCTGACATATATCTCACCTTTGTCTAATGTGCTACATCATTTTTGTTGTTTTGATCAGGAGAGAATTTTTTGCTTACAACAAAGTATTTCATGTCCTTTTTATTTTTCCCTGTGTACCTGGCACTCCTGAAGCTCCTGTCATAGAATCAAGTATTTCTGTATATGAACTATCCTGTTAAGTGACTCTGTAATTGTAACTTATAGATGGTGTTATTTTTGATAATGGCCCATTCTGATGCTGCCTCTGAAGTACAAATCACATCCTGTTTCCCAGTGTTCTTACAGTTACTTTCAGGATCACACAGCTGCATTCTTCTGCTTTAGTGACCATTTGAATTTTTTGTTTTTAAGACAGAGTCACTATGTAGACCTTACTCTGCCTCTCCAGGGCTGGGATTAAAAGCATGTGCCCCTACTCTTGGTGTGATCATTTGAATTAATTTACTCCCTAAAGCAGTGGTTCTCAACCTTCCTAATGCTATGTGACCCTTTAATATAGTTCCTCACATTGTGGTGACCCCTAGCCATAAAATTATTTTTGTTGCTATTTCATATCTGTAATTTTGCTACTGTTATGAATCATAATGTAAATATTTTTGGAGATAGAGGTTTGTCAAAGGGATTGTGACCCATATGTTGAGAACCACTGTCCTAAATAAAAGTTTATTTACTCTTTATTTACAAAACAAGACAGAACAGTTCTTTGTCACAATATTTCTAGCCTCCCCACTTGCAGCTGCTGTACTTTAATACTGTATACATGTGTCCACACACTGGGTTGCAGGCTCTTTAATTTGAATAACAGTTGCTAGCTGCAGGATCGCCCTTGAAGTTTCGATGGCCAGGTTCTCTCCTTTCTACAACAATGAGAAGTTCAGGGAGAGGCCTCAACTAGCACCTGTGACACTGCTCTCTGTGCTATTAGTCCTGACACTGGCAGGTGACAGTCCTGACACAGGCCAGTGACAGTCCTGATATAGCCAGGTAAAGTCTTAAAGACAGCTTCCGTGTTGTTCCACGGAGGCTTAGCATGACTCACGTCATGTCAGTTTGGATGGTCATTTGGCATGTAAATTCAAGCGTATCCCTCACTTTGAAACTGTGCCATTTTGAATACTTTGAAGGACAACTGGACAGCACTTATATCTGCATCTAAAGAGGGTCACATTCACATCGTGGAGGAGCTGCTTAAGAGTGGGGCCAATCTGGAGCACCGTGACATGGTACGTACATTTTCTGTGGAGCAGCATCAGTTAGCTGAAAGTCACTGACAGAGATGGAGATGCAGGAAACCTTGTCTGTGCTTTAAAGTCACTAACAAACAGTGATGGAGACGCAGGAAACTTGTCTGCGCTTTCCTTTTAAGATAGGGTCTTTTTGTTTTACAACTTAGGGCTGAATGTTGGAGTGATTGAGTGTTTTAAATGCTGGTGTTATAGTGTCTCCTGTTTAGAATAGTCATCGCCAGCTTTATTGAAGAATGAAAAGTTTTCTAGGTCATACGTTAGTACTTAAAAAACTTACTTCATTTGGATCAGACTTTAAGATGTATGTCAGATAGTTTAAAATGTTCTGGATAAGTTATAGTCTCTGGAGTGTGTGTGTGTGTGTGTGTGTGTGTGTGTGTGTGTGATCTGTCCAGGCTGCTGTCTGTGTGTGAACACTACAGTTCTCATAGGATGTGGCTCATAGTTGTCATGTACCTCTTATTTGATCAGGATCTGGGTAAGGCATAAAAATGAGAAAAGGGATCATTTCTTACTCTGTAAGACATTTAACCTTTTAAGAGTACAAGCAAGCAAGGAAGGAAGTGATTTGCCTTGGCATATACAGCACACATCACTTAACTGATGGGGGTTAATGAAATACATGTGGTTTAAGTTTAAAAGACACTGCAGCTGTCTGTCTTTCTCTTCGTAGTGTATTGTGCCACACAAAGCTTTACTTCTAGCATCCTACTTTCACAGATCTAGGAAGATATTACTATACTTAGTTTGGACCCTGCCCCCTTCTAGGCCCTCTGTGATTCTTAGAAGCAAGAGTGTCCCTAGTTCAGTTTGTGATGTTTACTACACAAACTTTGCAGTGGTCACCATAGATGCAGCAGGTTTTATTCAGTTCATGTTCTGTTGTATATTTCTGAGGAGCTTCAGGATTCAAGACTATTGTCTTGATTAAACAGTGCGGTCACAGAGCTGTGCATAGAGGACCAGGTTAAAAATATTCCTTGCTTGGTGATGATAGTTTCACACACCCTTTTGTCTTTAGGGGGGATGGACAGCTCTCATGTGGGCGTGCTACAAAGGCAGGACTGATGTTGTCCAGTTGCTTCTTTCTCATGGTGCCAACCCAAATGTCACCGGTTTGGTAAGCATTAACAAAAAAGTAAATTTGTAATGTAAATGGTGAGTTTTCTTACAGAATGCTGCAGACTTTTTATATTTCATAGTGGGTATTTTTTAGATCATACTGAGTATAATATAGAATGCCATTCTAAGGCCCAATGAAAATTTTATACATTGTCCTTTCTCAGTTTTTCCAATGAAAAAGCAAGTCTTTGAACTCAAAAGTTAACTGTCATTGTGTAGCATTTCAAAAGGAAGTTGTGAGTTCCTTGGTTATCTTACCGTGGGTGCGTTTTTTTCTGACTTTCTTGAAAAGATGTTTACCAAGAAGCCATACCATTTTCTGTACATTCTATACATTTCTGTACATGCTTTTTACTTCTTATTCTGCTTATTAATCTTGCCTATTGGCTAATCACAATAAATGTGTTAACTCTGCAAAAACGAATGTGTTGATAACATGTTTATTTAAGGCTTAACACATCTTAGTTTCAATTATGCATTATGAATATTTGTGTTTTTAAAATGGAGAATGGTCTCTAACTTGATTAAAACATGACTTGGTTAAAATTTAAAGTATAATTAGTTTTTATAATTTCATCAGATTTTTGTTACTTTTTTTGGAAGTGAAACTTTTAGCAAGTCGGTGTCTAGTTTTTACTAATCCCTGATTTCCCAGTGATTGCTCATATTATCAGAAGGAAGCGTTATTTAAGTGCGTCAGTTAATTGTACTACTTGGCTGAATTTCCATATAGTTTTTATTGTGTATGGGGAGGTTGTAGTATTTATTCTAGCATTTTAAATAAGGGTAATTCATTTTTTTATTAAAGTCATCTTCACGTTAAGTTCCTCTTTTTGTATGTTCTACTCTTAAGTTATATAACAGTTCCTTTTTTAAAAGAGTTCATTTGTTGAAGTGCTAGTGGAAAATTAATGTTATTAAATAGTTTGCAAATGACTTTTTATACCAGTATGCATATAATTTTTAAATATTTGTAATGTGAGATGTTGAATGAATAAAACTTTTAACTCAGAAAGCAAAAAAACAAAAAACAAAACAAAATAAAACAAAACATGCCTTGGTGTCAATTCTGCTGATACTTGCTTGGTGAGTTTGTGTTGTAAACGTCCATCTAAAAGACTCTCTTCTTTCTCCATCCTCTGTGTGCCTGTGTATCCCAGCAGTACAGTGTCTACCCCATCATTTGGGCAGCAGGCAGAGGCCATGCCGACATAGTGCATCTTCTGCTGCAGAATGGTGCAAAAGTCAACTGCTCTGACAAGGTGAGTTAGAGTCTGTCACATGGAGTGTTCCCGTTATAAACTTCTCTGATGTAGCTTACTTTTGTCCTCTAACATTTTATAGATGCATAGCTTATAGATGGGTCCTCTGTTTGTGTTGTGGACTAAGTGTTCTCTTAATGTTTGTTACATCAAATTCATTATTCTCAAAATGACAGGGGTAGTGGACTGGTATCTTTGTTGTTTGAAGTTTTCTATTATAACTCTTCTTTCTACTTTCAATTTCACCTTCTTTGTATGAAAATTATCTTAAAATTCAAGTATGTTTCTCTCCCTAATGCTTAGGGTTTGAAAGCTGGTGGTGTGGTGATGGGAAATGATGGTTGCAAGTTACATTTGAAGTGTGGGAGAAAGGGCTATGATGGGCTTTTAAGAGGCAAGGCCGCTGGGAAAGCTGGTGTCTTAGTCAGGGTTTCTGTTGCTGCAGTGAAATACCATCACCAAAGAGCAAGTTGGGGAGGAACGGTTTGTTTAGCTTACATTTCAGCATTGCTGTTCATCACCAAAGGAAGTCAGGACAGGAACTCAAGCAGGGCAGGAACCTGGAGGCAGGAGCTAATGCAGAGGCCATGGAGGGGTGCTGCTTGCTAGCTTGCTCCTCATGACTTGCTCAGCCTGCTTTCTTAGAGAACCCAGGACCAGCGGCTCAGGGATGGCCCCACCTACCATGGACTGGGCCCTCCCCCATTGATTAGCTAATGAGAAGATGCCTAACAGTTGGATCTCAAGGAGGCATTTCATCAGCTGAGTTTAGGAAGCCTAAACTGTCAGGACTTGAACCAGAGACCTAAGAGGAAGGGAGGAGCAGGAGGAGAGGATGTGATAGGAGAGGGAACAGTTGAGTAATGTCCTGGTGAAAGAGGGAGCTATGATCTGGAGTATAAATGAAGGGAGCCTGGCACTCAGGAGGACCATTCTCCAAAGCCTGTCTGGATTATGTGCAGAGACTGTGGGAAATATGCACACCAAAGGATTTTGTTTAGGGGGAAAGATAAGAATTTGTACTTGAAAAAAGTAAGAGATTTATTGAGGTGGTCGAGTGCTAACTGAAGAGCCATTGTGGAGTAGACAGGAAGCAAGGTGAGGATGATCCTACCAGCAGGAGTTCTTTATAAAGGTATCAGTGAGATTGTCTGCTCCTTAGGATCAGGGTGAGCTGGCCAGTGTGATGGAAAGAGAAAGAGCAGACATGCTAGCATATACTCTCAAATATTGTTCTCTTAGAAGGTAAAAATACAAGTGTGCTCAAGGGATGAGAACTTATGTCTGATTCATACAATAGAGGAGGTCTTGATGAGTAGTGAATATGTGTGTTCTGTGATCCTTCAGGATGGCTAGGATATTGTGTTGTGGGTTAGAGAAGGCACTTCAGACCGACAACATTATCTACAAGGCAGGAAGGAGGCTGGGAACACTGCAGATGCTAGGGTGAAATTGGAGCCTTTATCTCTGCATCCCTTACCCATCTCTATCAGCCTGTTCCGAGGCAGTGGATGAAAGAGCTCTTCTCTTCATGCCACTCTTCCTTTTGGTCAGCTTCTGCTGCCCTTGCTGTACTCACATCGTTGTTTGTCTGCCACAGGGACCCATTTATCAAGGGTTCTCAGGGGTATAGTTCCAAGGAGTGTGGTTGGCGGGTGTCTGATGTCATTCATAGAGACTGAGACTAGCCACATAGAGGTGTTTAGATTTAATTTAAAATTAAGTAAAAGTAAAAATTCAGTTTCTTAGTTAACACTAGCCACATTTTACACATTAACAGTCATGGAGACTAGTGGCTTCTTATTGTATTGACAATGTGGAATAATAGTTTTCTTTTAGCATGTTGGACAGACAGGCTGTCAGGTTTTTTTAATGTCTATAACCGTGTTCCAGTTTTCATGTACATGAAGGGCACTTTGGATATTCCCATCTATTGATTGGACAGCATTCCTTTTGTGTCTGATTGTTAGTTCTTGGTACTTTCTGACCATCTTCCATAGAAGGTGCTTTTGAGCAGTTTCTGGACTACGGTTATCAAGGAGACAGGTTGATTGGGTTATGGTTAAGAGTACATGCAATACCTCAACATAATAAAAGCAATATACAGCAAGCCGACAGCCAACATCAAATTAAATGGAGAGAAACTCAATGCAATCCCTCTAAAATCAGGGACAAGACAAGGCTGTCCACTCTCTCCATACCTCTTCAATATTGTCCTTGAAGTTCTAGCTAGAGCATTAAGACAACAAAAGGAGATCAAGGGAATACAAATTGATAAGGAAGAAGTCAAACTCTCACTATTTGCAGATGATATGATAGTCTACATAAGTAACCCGAAAAACTCTACCAGGGAACTCCTACAGCTGATAAACACCTTCAGCAAAGTGGCAGGATACAAGATTAACTCAAAAAAATCTGTAGCCCTACTATATACTGATGACACATCGGTGGAAAAAGAAATCAGAGAAACATCACCCTTTATATTTGCCACAAACAACATAAAATACCTTGGGGTAATACTAACCAAAAAAGTGAAAGACCTGTACCATAAGAATTTTGAGTCTCTAAAGAAAGAAATTAAAGAAGATACCAGAAAATGGAAAGATCTCCCATGCTCTTGGATAGGTAGGATCAACATAGTAAAAATGGCAATCTTGCCAAAAGCAATCTACAGATTCAATGCAATCCCCATCAAAATC